CCCCCCCCCCCCCCCCCACACAAAGGAATTTTGTTTTTTGCTTTGAATCTGTCACTTGAGTAGATTAGAAAAATAGGTCACTGTCTCTTACTCTTAAAACCTTAAATATGAATATTTTTGAGTATTACCTAGTGAGAGCATCAGGCACACCCTTTGACACCCTTTTTGTAGTATTTCTGTTTTCCTCTTGCACAGATTTCTCCAGTGTCTTTTTCTGAGTGGGGGTGGATTCACTTTGCTAACAGAACACAGTAACATTACATTGTTCAGGACAAACTGAATAAGTTGTCCAGTAGAGGCTACAGGGCATTTCTAGGTCAAGATACTAGTTTAAACTAGGACACAATTATGGGTGCTCCTTTTGGCAAAGGGTGCTGTGATTGACTTACCAGAAATGTGAGTGCACTGTATAGGCCTCTAAGTGCTTGTTTCCAGTGAAATAAAAGTATGACTAGCACAGGTAGGCACACCAATTTATGATAGCCTTCACATAGTTGACACGGGTAATAACCGTGCCTTTAGGCCAGAAGCAAAAAGCTCAAGCCCTCCTGAGACCTTGGGGTAGTATTCCTAACCTACTTTGATATGGATTCAAGTATAGATAAGCAAAATGTGATTTGTACACTTTGCTGAGGAGATATACCCTTGCCTGCAGGGACTGGATCTTGAAGGGTTAATCTGCAAGGGTTAAGCTGAAGTCCTAGCCACAGTTGCTATGGCTACAGGTTTTGTAGAATATTCAGGTTCAAAGACTCCCAGTAGATAAATATATATACTGTTTAGTAGAATCTACAGTATTAGATGCCCTTCTACAACAGTGGTTCTCTTCTTTTTGGAATAGAGCTACCCTGTGCTCAAGGCAGCCCTCCATAACTCTTGTGAATTAAGTAGCACCCAATTTCAAAATGTATAGGTAATAGTACTTATTTTACCTAGGGGCTGAACAGTAGGAGCAAGGGGATAGTCCAAGCAGGGAAAGGCCTGAGCCTGGCTTATCTGATTATCTCCTCATACTTTGTGACACCCTTCAAAGGATCTAGCAGCACCCTACGGTACCTCATCACCCTGAATCAGCTAGTGGGGTTCAAATGCTATAGTCATGGTAGTCCAGGAAATATACAAGAGGCAAGAGTTTTTTGTGATATTGGGTTTTGTTTTGTTGTTTGTTTTTTTTTTTAATGAACCAACTGTATGGTTGGGGGAGAAACTGGATGCTGTTTTGGTTCCAAACTGCCCTTCGCCCGGTCTCAGAAGTTGACACAATTTAAGCTAAAAAGCTTAGGAAATAGATGTCACTAGGTGCATCTACGCATGCTATTAATGTGCTTTACAGCTTGGTGTTCAGTAAAATAAGGCACAATAAGCTTTCCCCAGGAGCATGGTCTAAGCATGTGCTGTTGGGAGCAGTTTTGTGCAAGGCTACTCCTGCCCTGCTCTGTCCCCCTACAGCAGCCAGGGGGAGCTCCAGGCTCCCCACCAGGGTCAGGCCAGCACTCAGGAGGGAAGAGGGAGCTGTCCTGCCTCTGGGGCAGCTGCCTCCCAGCCCTGTGCCGCGATTGCCAGATTGGGGCATGGGGCTAGAAGGCAGGCAGCTCCCTAGGGCAGGGGGCAGTTCCCCAACCTCCTGCTGCCTGGGCTGACCAGCAGCAATTTGTTCCCAGTCAGCTGTTTAGATGTAGACAGCTGTCTGCCAATCGGGCTGGGAGGCATCTGCCCCTGGAGACAAGACAGCTCCCCCATCCCACTGTAACTCTGGCTTGACCCCAGTGCCCCCTGCCAGCCTTTGCTGATTGGGGAAAAGGGCTGGGAAGGAGGCAGCTACCTGGGGCAGAGACTGTTCCCCTGCTGCCTGGGCTGACAGGGAGAAATTTGCTCCTGGTCAGGTATCTACATGTGTGCTGCTGTGCAGTAGCTACTGCATATTAAATCTACTTGTATCCACAGGTACTAGCCAACCGTGCAGTAAACTAATTTACTGCACAGTAAATGCTGTGCATGTGTAGACATTGACGCTTTACCACACAGTAAAAGTGTCTCATGTAGATGTGTGCATTGT